AGGTTCTTTAATATTTAAGGGGAGTGAAAAACCATGCATATGTCTCTGACAGCATTTTCCCAAGTTTAGAAAGCCTCATGAACAAACTACTGCTTGCTTAAAATTCTTTTTAAAAAATCCAAAGATGTTTTTGCAAGATAAATGTTTGCAAATATTTGAAAATTATTTAAAATAATATTCAAAAAGCGGAGCATGATTTGAATTAACATATATATGTGTAATGATTCAGTCCACTGAAGGCGAGCGTAGTGAGAACCCAAGTGCAGTTTTATTTACAAGTGTGATCCAAACAATATACACAGACTTGACTTGATGAGGCACAAACAGACTAGACTCACCGACAGAGGGTTACAACATCAATACACGACAAGGGCACAATGGTAACATGAAGGCTACTTATAGCAGACAAGGAGGGTCACATGACATGAACAAACCAATGGGGAACAAGACACATGACAAAGACTACCAATCAGAACATGACACATACACCAGGCAGAGATACATGAGGGCAAGGGAAGCATGACACTAACAGGGTGAAACAATTACAAAATAAAAGACATGGAAAACATGAACATGAACCAAAACCCAAACACCAAACCCCACATTACAATATGTGGTATAAATTGTTAAATATTTGTGCAAGGTGCTAATATGGCTTCTTTTAATAGCCTACTTCCTCAACAAACAGGAAGCACAACCACAAATAGGACAACTTTGTGTATCAGAAATGACGCAGATGTCTGTTGTTCAGTGTGTTCAGCACTGGGAGCTGTCCAATGTGCTGAATTTATACTAGGAAAAAATGTATTTCCTTAAAAATTAATTTGATTAGAGATGACAAGAGAAATATAAAAATTCTGTCAGTTACTTATCCTTATGTCGCTCCAAAACGATTATAAAAATATAAGTAGTTAATATAAGTAGGATGTATTCCATAAGGGTTTAAACCAAAATATTGTCTTCCCTGCTCCCTTTATTCGAATCTGGTGCAGAAAACTGTCTTGCTGTTTGTGGCTCAGTGAGCACGCTTGACACGGAGAATGCGGCTGGGCTGAAGAAAGTTTACACACTCAAGTGTAATGCTTATTTTATTTATTTATTTATTTAATTTTAAAAAATCGGTATGCTTATTTTAAATTGATTTAAATTTGTGTGTATATTTATTTATTTAGCAAATTAATTTAGCAAATGTATTTATTTATTTAGCAGACTGAGGCAATTAACATAAAGGCAAGATATTCATTTCTTAGTGTTCTGAGGAGATGGTCTCATTATTGGGAGATACCAAGGTCCATTGCTCTACCATTGGAGAAAGTGTAACTTGGATCATAACTCAAATTTGATCATGTCAGGTGTGCTTTTTGACACCATTGGATTTCTGAGCTGTGCAACAGTCAAATTCCATTTGTGGACATAGATTTTTATACATAGATCCACATTCGACCACTCCAGAGACTTGTGATGCATGCCAATTTGCATACATATGCACTATTTGTGCTGCTTTTTAGTGTGTTCACACTGAAAATTCCAACAAGAAAAATGCACTTCAAATGTCTAGATGATACACTTAAATAGTCTAACCGAAAAAAAAATGAACTGTGGAATGTGGAATGCTTTTAGTATGAATATGTCAGGCCATTTAGAAGATATACATAAGCATTCAAAACGTATAGTCTCTCACTTTCTCCAATAGACCTCTTTCACACTTCTGCATTTGAAAAAAAGGGCATAAGCTTCTAATAGTAGTGTAAAATAACTTAGGCTGTAACCTGCATGAAGGGCAGTGCCCATAGCATGTACTGTTAAAACATTTTTGTGTGAAATTACTGTATATTCCATATTAATAATTGCATTACTTTCACAGTAATGTCACAGTAAGACTGCACACTCAGAATTTTATTGTAAACAAAGAGCATACTGTGTTTCTACAGTGCATGTGTATAATGTATCCCAGCATGCAATGCAGCGTGAATAGATCATGCTGTAGAGTTTTTTTTTTTTTTTTTTAATTCTTGTTGGTTTGACATGTGCATGTGTGTTGAGCTTGTTCATTTTTAGCAGTTTATGTCGTTGGTTTATTTTGTAATGTTGGTTTATGTTGTAAGCAGTGTTTGGGAAAGTAATGCATTACAATATTGCATTACTCCATAAAAAAGTAACTAAATGCGTTAGTTACCTTTCATGGAAAGTAATGTGTTACATTACTTTTGAGTTACTTTTTAAATCTGAGCAGGGCTTGCTATAGATATATATAAATTTATATTTTGTCAGATGTAAAAGCCCTTTCACACCAAAAGTGAAATGAATAAGCCTCAGGCGGGAGGACATGTCTCTACAGTAGAACGCATGAGAAGAAAGTTCAACACTCTTCTTCAGCAATAAAAAAATTAAACCCAAATGTTGTTTATCTAAAGTCATTTTTTCTTATTAGTATGGTTGAATTGGATCATTGAAGGTCAGCAGCGAAGACACTGGTTAATAAAATGGGATTAAATACGTAAAGTATATTTAAAATATGTAATTATTGCAGGTTTGCGTCATATCCTGAGTTTGCATTTTACTGTTTTTATTCATTTGGAGGAACAAAGAATCTGTTTTTGTACAGGTAAGATGAGTAAATGTGTGTTCATATTTAGTCTAGAATAGGGGTGTCATACTCAATTCCTGTAGGGCCGGAGCCCTGCAGAGTTTTGTTCCAACCCTGCTCCAACACACATACCATGTAGTTTTCAAATAAGCCTGAAGGACTTGATTAGTTGGATCAGGTGTGTTTAATTAGGGTTGAATCTAAACTCTGCAGGGCTCCTGTCCTCCTGGAATTGAGTTTGACACCCCTGGTCTAGAACTACAGTAACATCATGTTCACACAGCGCACACAACGCCTCTGAACTTACCCCCGATTTCTCTCAACATGGGGACAGGAGAGCTATCAGTCAATGGAAACATGAAAATATTTCATAACGTAACTCAGATATTCCCTTGTAAATTAAAAGGTAATGCTTTACTTTACTAGTGGTTAAAGCTCCGGAATGGACTCTGTCCCAAGATGAGAGAAAAATATTGACACTTTCATACCCACATTTAAGTCACTGAACTCCAGGTTACTCAAGAAGACTGTAACTCAATTAATGGATTAAATGTATTTGCATCTGCTGAAGTAACAAAGAACTACTTTGATGTAGAACCCCATTTTTTTGTACATTTAGGGTAATACAGGCTAAGATGTCCCCTGCGGTAAGATTTCACATCAGTGACACATATGACACAATGACCATTACCGCTGGCCATTACAAGATAGCAGACACCTCAACATGTCTGGAGCAATCGAATGTGGCATCTGGGTATACATCTCTATGATCATCACTAACTGTACAATATCGCGCAGTCTTGCAGATATGCATATTCACACAACTATAGTTGCAGACACACAGTCAGCTTGCTTTTGAATGTTTATGGACCAGCTTTCACTGTCCCTATATGGTGGATGGCTTGCATATAGCAGCCCACAGAAACAGCCACTATTGAGAAATCTATGTATTTATGTCTATGGTGATGACACACAGACGGTTTCAAGATGGCGAGAGTGTCAACAATTGTGTCCCAAACTACACTATGCACTTATTCTATGCACTATGTACTCAACCGCCTAGTGTATGAATTATTTAAAGTTATTTTGTCATTCAACATTGGATTCTAATATGTGCCATTCACCACATAGAAAATATTAATTCTGTGAACAAGTGACCGATTTCAGATCATACCCAATTAAAGATATAATGTGGTTTGTATGTTTTGATGAAACATCTGTGACGAATTGTACATTAATAAATCACAACAATCCCACATTGTTAAACATTGCCAGGAATTTACCGGATTAAAGAGTATTATTTTACAATAAATTACCGTATTGAGAAATGTACTGTGAAATCATTTTCTTACAAATGACTAACCCTAACAGCAGAATGATGCTGTCATCACAGTAATTCACTGCTCTTGTTTTACTGTGAATTCACATTATAAAGTTGTCTTTAAAGGTGGGGTAAGCGATTTCTGGCAGCCAATGTTGACATTTGAAATCACCAAAACAAACACGCCCCTACCCCAAAAGGGTCTCGCCCCTATTTTGATAGCTCCGCCCCACACATACGTACGCAACCCAGGCATCTATTCATGACATATTGAGACAAATTTCAAATGATTTTCAACGGTCGCTTTGTTGCGTCCAGTGTACTAGACAGACTTCAGCTGTTGCGGCGCAGACACGGTGTTACTGTGCAGTGCCAAGTTGTGGAAAAACATTGTTTGCATTGCATTCCTTTTGATTCCAACATTAGGAAAGATTGGATGCATTTTATTTTTAATGAAGATCCAGACCACGTCAGTAAGAACTTGGTCCTTTGTTCACTTCATTTTACCACTGATGCACGATGCTGTGCCGACTATATTTGATCCGACAGTAATGTCGCGACACAAGTGTGAGCAACTGTTTTCATTATGTAGTCATTATTGTTTTGTCTCTTCTTACAGAAGCTCTCAAACATAGCAACTATTAGCCAGTCATAGCAGTGGGCATTTACTTACGAGTTTACAATCAGCCATGCCTATTCAAGCACAGCGTTCTGATGAGGGGGATAAAAAAGGACAGAAAATAGCTTATTACTTCTAAATTATGATGTTTTATATATATAAATCTTGAAAACATAATAATTGGACCTCAGAGAACAGTACAAAATTAAAAAACAAAGGCAGTTCATGATCCCTTTAAACTAAACGCTAACACAGGAAACCCACTTCCACATCCTGTTACTCATCCTGTATGGAAACATACTAAAACACTTTTACTGAAAGAAAATGTTTTTATCTGTCAATACTTATAAAGAAGAAGAAGAATTCTTGCTTCATATTTTTCATCTATGATTTAATCACAGACAAACATTTTAAACAACAAACATGCCGTTAACATAATATTTCAATGATAATGGCTCCTCCAGCTTTCTAATCTATTCAGTTTCTGTTCTGACAGGAGCGTAAGTAGTGATATCTGAACTCGGCACTTGTGTTTTCTTGTGTCGGTTTTGTCTCCTGGTCATAAAGTCCACAGATGCATAACACACCTCGCTATCATCATTCTCCTGTAATAAAAAATAATGTTTTGATTTAATTATATAACATGTATTACAGTATATATTTACATTTTAGGTAACTTTTTTTTTTTTTTTACATGTAACATTAATTAACAATGCATTAATACGTTTACTAACAATGAGCAATATGTTTGTTACTGTATTTATTAATCTTTTATAATGTAAGTTTATATAAAATAGATCTGTTCACTGTTAGTTAATATAAGCTCAGATCCATTAAATTATAATAACAGATAGTTAATGTTAGTTCGTTAACTTTTTTTTTTTATTCATTTATTTATTTATTTATTTGCAACCTTATTGTAAAGTGGTAACCCAATCTTTTTAAGCTAAAGAAAAAAAGAGCCAGTAATTGAAATCTTCCATATTGTGAATAAACTTGCATGTTTTCGTTGGTCATACCTCAATAATATTTCTACCTTTCAGCTTGTGTTTTTGATCAGTTGCAGAATCTAAAATGAAATATTTAAATTAGTGGATTCCAATTCATGCAGTATTAAAAAAAAATTAAACTTTTGTCATTGACAAAATCTGTAAAATTTTGGCTGTGCAAAAGAAGTGTATAAATCTGTAAATAATTACCTGTAGCTTTCCTACAACAGAGGCAGAATACACAGATGGAGGAGAAGAGACAACACACTGGACACACACTGAACAGCAGCGTCCAGCAGAGCACACAGTCTGATACAGGAGGTGGGGTGGAGGTGGTGTTCAGGGGTCCAGAAGAGGAGGTCACTTGCTCAGGATAAAATAAATACAAATGTGTCAATGAATGTTGAAAAATAAATAAATTATATATATATATATATATATATATATATATGAAGGTAAAGTTTTCCAGAATTACACAAACAATGGTGTAATAATGACTAACAGAAGTGTTTTTTTACCGCCCAGAGAAAGACAAATTGTTTGGTTTCCATAATAGTACACATCTGATGAGGAGATGATGCCTTTTCCATCTTCATTTACCTTTATCTCTAGTTTTGCACAGTAGTACAGTCCCAGGTCAGATACACTGATGTTAGTAATATGTAGATCATAAGAATTATTATAGAGGTTGTGGATAAAGCTGAATCGCTGAAATATCTCCATGCCCAGTTTCCTAAAATCTATTATGAGAGAGGGTTGGTTTTCATGAGAGCAGTTTCTTATCCATACAACGACAGAACCAAGAGTTAGAGAGCGATCACAAAAGAGAGTGATGTTGTCTCCTGGTTTGACTTTCATCTCCATTTCTTCTCCATAGATTATTTTCAGATAAAACAGGAAAACTGTAAAAGTACAAAATTATCTTTATGTAGCACTTTAGATTATACTATTATATCAATTATATCAAAATATTCACAGTAGTGACATTTTACAAAACAAAAAAAAACTCAAAAAAAATAACTAAAGAATTATAGTTTTTTTCTTACACATGAGTGCGATCAAAGCAAGTCTTGGCCTCTCCATCTCAGTGAATGATTGTGAATAACTGACACTGCTGAGGGTCTTAATGCAGATGTCAGCTCTTATCTGACTGGTTCACATCAATGGAAAGTTTTACCTAAAGCGGCCTGCGTCATGAGGGGTTGGCGGTAAATTAGGTTATTGTGTAAACAAAAAGTGAGTGCAATAGGAACCAATCATTTGTTACCTTTTAGACTTGTTTGCTCTGATTTGACTTCGTGAATAGGAAAATCTTAAACCTTTTCATGATCGGACATATATGCAGAGAGGCTACATTATTTGATAATAAAATGTAACTTGTGTTTGTTAGATAATAGGTATGATTAGCATCAGAAATGATTCAGACATGAAGATAAGCCCAAGATTATGTGCTTACATTTTACATTCAATGAGAAAATTAATAAACTCTTTGTTTTATTGTAGTGGATCAAAATAAGAAACTATTATGCAACAACATCTAAACATGTCAAAACAGGAAACCCACAGGCCTCATTTAGACCACTTACAACCTCCTCACATTTGTTGCCTTTACACGTCATCAAACTTTCACTTCACATCTCTTGTAGATTATTGATCACCAAGCAAGTATGTTTCCATTAGTCTTTGTTTGCTTTTGTGTGTTGGTTAAAGTGCGTGTATGTGCATAAAGGCATCTCACTCACATTAATTCATGCAGGAGAAGTTTTCTGTGTGTTCTTATAGATACTGGAATAGCTGTCTAAATAAAGGATTCAGTTAAAGATTATTAATGCCGCAAATAAACACGATGTTATGTTTTGTTAAGAACTGACTAAATTTTAAATTAAAATTAAAAGTCTAGGAAAGGTTCCAAGGTGTACCATTTAAACACCCATGTGTACCATATGAAGAGACAACACACTGGACACACACTGAACAGCAGCGTCCAGCAGAGCACACAGTCTGATACAGGAGGTGGGGTAGAGGTGGTGTTCAGGGGTCCAGAAGAGGAGGTCACTTGCTCAGGATAAAATAAATACAAATGTGTCAATGAATGTTGAAAAATAAATAAATTATATATATATAGTTTATCTTGCTTCTTGATGAGAAGGTAAAGTTTTCCAGAATTACACAAACAATGGTGTAATAATGACTAACAGAAGTGTTTTTTTACCGCCCAGAGAAAGACAAATTGTTTGGTTTCCATAATAGTACACATCTGATGAGGAGATGATGCCTTTTCCATCTTCATTTACCTTTATCTCTAGTTTTGCACAGTAGTACAGTCCCAGGTCAGATACACTGATGTTAGTAATATGTAGATCATAAGAATTATTATAGAGGTTGTGGATAAAGCTGAATCGCTGAAATATCTCCATGCCCAGTTTCCTAAAATCTATTATGAGAGAGGGTTGGTTTTCATGAGAGCAGTTTCTTATCCATACAACGACAGAACCAAGAGTTAGAGAGCGATCACAAAAGAGAGTGATGTTGTCTCCTGGTTTGACTTTCATCTCCATTTCTTCTCCATAGATTATTTTCAGATAAAACAGGAAAACTGTAAAAGTACAAAATTATCTTTATGTAGCACTTTAGATTATACTATTATATCAATTATATCAAAATATTCACAGTAGTGACATTTTACAAAACAAAAAAAAACTCAAAAAAAATAACTAAAGAATTATAGTTTTTTTCTTACACATGAGTGCGATCAAAGCAAGTCTTGGCCTCTCCATCTCAGTGAATGATTGTGAATAACTGACACTGCTGAGGGTCTTAATGCAGATGTCAGCTCTTATCTGACTGGTTCACATCAATGGAAAGTTTTACCTAAAGCGGCCTGCGTCATGAGGGGTTGGCGGTAAATTAGGTTATTGTGTAAACAAAAAGTGAGTGCAATAGGAACCAATCATTTGTTACCTTTTAGACTTGTTTGCTCTGATTTGACTTCGTGAATAGGAAAATCTTAAACCTTTTCATGATCGGACATATATGCAGAGAGGCTACATTATTTGATAATAAAATGTAACTTGTGTTTGTTAGATAATAGGTATGATTAGCATCAGAAATGATTCAGACATGAAGATAAGCCCAAGATTATGTGCTTACATTTTACATTCAATGAGAAAATTAATAAACTCTTTGTTTTATTGTAGTGGATCAAAATAAGAAACTATTATGCAACAACATCTAAACATGTCAAAACAGGAAACCCACAGGCCTCATTTAGACCACTTACAACCTCCTCACATTTGTTGCCTTTACACGTCATCAAACTTTCACTTCACATCTCTTGTAGATTATTGATCACCAAGCAAGTATGTTTCCATTAGTCTTTGTTTGCTTTTGTGTGTTGGTTAAAGTGCGTGTATGTGCATAAAGGCATCTCACTCACATTAATTCATGCAGGAGAAGTTTTCTGTGTGTTCTTATAGATACTGGAATAGCTGTCTAAATAAAGGATTCAGTTAAAGATTATTAATGCCGCAAATAAACACGATGTTATGTTTTGTTAAGAACTGACTAAATTTTAAATTAAAATTAAAAGTCTAGGAAAGGTTCCAAGGTGTACCATTTAAACACCCATGTGTACCATATAAGCCCAGTAAGCTTTTTTAACGCTTAATATTTTATTAAATAAACAGTTCCATTTGATACATTTTAAATTAGTCAGTCTAAAGAACTACTGATCAAACAGGCCAGATATTAATGACAGGTTTAATATTAACTCACAGCAGTGTGTGATTTATTGTTGTCAGATGTATATGCTGTAATGTGGCTTGTCTTAATATTTTCTCAATGATATGGAGTGACAGCCTTATATACTTCAGAAAATATTCAGTACATCACTGATTCTTAAGACATGGGACAAAACATATCCAGCATTTGTAACTGCTATTAGGTTTAAAAATTAAAATATTTTCAATTGTAAGTGTTATGGGGGATTATAATAGAATGTATTTAACACAATCACCCCCTTCAATTTAATTTGATCGTTATTATATCAAATCTATGACACTTATTGTCTTCTCACTACATCAAAAAGCGTGGGTCCACAGACAAGGATTCAATTGTTCATAAGCAATAAGATGGATTCATTTTTTGATTAATTATGAAAAAGAGCTTGTTTTATCAAAAGCAAAACTTAATGATATCTCATATCAAAGCAAGGTTGTTTTTTAAGGACACGTAGGTTTCATAAGGTTGTGTCCCTAAAAATTAAAATATTTTCAATTGTAAATTTATGAGGGATTAATGATAGAATGTATTTAACACAATTATCCCCTTCAATTTAATTTGATTATTGTTATATCAAATCTATGACACTTATTGTCTTCTCACTACATCAAAAAGCGTGGGTCCACAGACAAGGATTCAATTGTTCATAAGCAATAAGATGGATTCATTTTTTGATTAATTATGAAAAAGAGCTTGTTTTATCAAAAGCAAAACTTAATGATATCTCATATCAAAGCAAGGTTGTTTTTTAAGGACACGTAGGTTTCATAAGGTTGTGTCCCCACTTTTTGTCAACACTTAGAATGCAAAAAAATATAAAAATCAGGGTATATCAGGGGCAGCTGTGACTTTAAATGACCCCCTTGCCACATTCCATCTCTGCAGAGTACATCAGTGTCAGACAGACTCTGGTAAGTTTTATAGTTTTAGAATATTTTAAATCCTAATGTTAATAGTTCCTGTGTCATAACCATGATATGTCAACACCATCTTCCAATTTCAGAGGAAATTATTTGAAATATTTAGATAATTTTTTAAATAACCTCCTGGAGCAGGTTCTATTAGTATCTAGCATCAAAAGAGAAAACAAAATGGCTACTGCATGAACTTGTTTTGTGAAAGAAATGCTAAATTTGTCAACACCGTAAGATGTTCTATCTGACGGTGGTGATGGGCCAATGATGTTGTTGACATTCAATGTGAATTCATTGAACAAAATAACAATTCAGAAAGCACAACAACAATTCAGAAAACATTATAACAAGTCAGAAAACACAATGACAAATCAGACAAACCGGAAAAGGTAGGTATAGTTTGAGACGATAACCTCCTGGAGCAGGTTCTATTAGTATCTAGCATCAAAAGAGAAAACAAAATGGCTACTGCATGAACTTGTTTTGTGAAAGAAATGCTAAATTTGTCAACACCATAAGATGTTCTATCTGACGGTGGTGATGGGCCAATGATGTTGTTGACATTCAATGTGAATTCATTGAACAAAATAACAATTCAGAAAGCACAACAACAATTCAGAAAACATTATAACAAGTCAGAAAACACAACGACAAATCAGACAAACCGGAAAAGGTAGGTATAGTTTGAGACAGCGCCATTGGTTTGGGATTACTCACCGCTGACTGGACGAGACATCTGTCAATCAACGTATACAGGAAGAACCAGCCGAAGAACAGCAGAGTCGTGGTAGAAAGTTCGGAGATGGTATTAAAGTAGCTCAGTTTAAATGTATTGTATGAATTGGCCTTACTATGGAATAAAAAATCTGAGGTGTCTATTTAGATTTAGTTAAAAGTGGTTGTAAAACGTCAGCTCCAGTGGGCAGATAGAAAAATGCGTGGATAGAAAAGATGGATAAATGAGTGTCGTTAGCTTTTTGACACGATCGACCCGGGTTCGATCCCGCCTTTTGCCGAACTTTTTTTTCTTCTCCCTTTTCAAATCTCGTATCACATCGTAAAGGCATTTATTTTCAATAAAAATTAAGGAAATAATCAAAAAGTTGAAAATAAAGTATCGGGGAGGTTTAGGGGAGGTGTAGGGAGGACTTTATTGTACCAATAAGGTGGCATCCATTTAATAATTAAAATTATAATTTACACTCAATACGTTATTATTGCATACTGTTTTATAATGTACTACAATACTGAAGTGCAGATAATTGCCACTATTTGCAACAAGTAGTATACTTGATAGTAGAAATCCTGCTATTTTAACAGTGTAAATAGGTATTTGCACTTAGTGTAAACAGCATATTGCTAAAAATACTGCTATTTTCACTTAGGGAGGGGAAAAAAGTTTGGCAAAAGCCGGGATCGAACCCGGGTCGATCGCATCAAAAAGCCAAGGGCACACACTTATCCATCTGTGCCACTAGAGTAAGGGCAATTCATACAATACATTTAAACGGAGCTACTTTAACACCATCTCCGAACTTTCTACCATGACTCTGCTGTTCTTCGGCTGGTTCTTCCCTGTATACGTTGATTGACAGATGTCTCGTCCAGTCAGCGGTGAGTAATCCAAAACCAATGGCGCTGTCTCAAACTATACCTACCCGTTTTTTTCCAAAAAAACGAAAAACAAGAATTCAGCTTAAATTTTTGTTTTTTGTTCATGGGTGGAAACATTAATAAACAGCTTGAATATTCGATTTCTACACGTGGGCGGGAATTAAATGCCCCTTTCTGCTGATTGGTCAGCCGAAGATCAAACCGTGCCATCATCAGTTCTCCTGCAGTATCACGCAGCAGAATAATAGTCCTCCGCTGCTGCAGTTGTATGGATTCTTAACACATTTATTGCAACTACATTTCATCTTTTTTCATCAAACAAACAGGCTAATGAATAGCTCGAAACAACTTGTACCGGGGCAGAGTCTAGACTGGGCTTTCTTCTGTGTAGATATAAATTCTATTCTTTGCATCAGCTGGGCATGGCAGCTGCCATAGCCTACCCTGCTCAACCAGTAATTAATTACCAGTTTAATTAAGAAATTAATTAATTCATTTCAAAATAAATATTTTAAACACTAAGAAAGAAAGGAAAGAATAATACATTGGCTTGGGTATATATAGGCCTATGTTGCAAGAACTGTCATTTTGACTGACAACCAGAGAGCAACAGATATTAAATAGCCTACTGTTAGAGTTATAAAATGTAATCTTGTGTTTTATTAAAATAGATTATAATTGATATCTCAAAAGGATATGCACTTGTGCGCAGCTTGAGCTGCAATGCAAGATTTTCATAAAATATAATATAAATATAACTTGCCATTTCGTTTTTTTCTCACCAAACCCTTAGTATACGTTCAGAATGCTTGAAATATACGGCACAAGACGCATATGATTATTTTATGACAGATATGTATCCGCTTAAAAAAAACAACAACTAAAGTCACCATTCTCTGCCATTAAATTGGCAAGCCCGAGCAGGACATTGCGATGTTGCGAAATTGCGATGGGTTAAATAAACTCAATAAGCAGACAGACGCGA